CCGCCCGAGCCCGCGGGGCGCTGGTCGCCTCGCCCGCTCATCAGAGCCTTGGACGTTCCTTCCCCGGAGAAAACCACCCGTTTCCGAACGCCAGGGCGGCTGCAGCGGAGCAGGGAACGCGACAGCGATAAGCCGCTGCGTTTGCTCCTAAAGTGCATGTTAACTTCTCCCCGAGTCCTGCCCTCTGCGCCAGTTCCGCGCTCGAGCCTCCTAGAGAGGAAGGCGGACCAGCGCCTGCCCGCCCCGCAGTCCTCTCCAGCGGGGTGTCGGGTGGTCCACCCCGGCCTGAGGGGACAGGAGCCCCGGTGAGCCGGTGCCCCGAGGTGATCTGTCAGGGCGCCTTCTTGCTGAGCCCCATGGAGGGTAAACAAGGTGGCGGGTACAAAATACCTGGGGATAGGGCCAAACCACCAGGTCCCAACCAGTCCAGGGAGGTGGTCCTGAAATTGTCCCCAGAATGTCTTCCTAGAATTAAATTCACAATTTAAGACCTGGACGGGTCCTTGGATATAATCTAAAAATTTAATAATTATATTTAGAGACAACTTTCATTGAGCAGGTTCTTTGTGCTGGGACCACATTATCCTATTTAAGCTGTACAGCCCAGCCATCCCATTACGTAGATATTATTTTCTCCCTTTTCCGTTGTAGAAAACTGAGGCTCAGAGCAATTAAGGGAATTGCCCAAGAAGGAAGGAAGGCAGAGGTGAGACGCAGAACAGGGAAGACAGGCTGCAGCAGTCATGGTCGGCTCTGTCTGTGGGTTGGGTGGTTGACACGGGGCTGTGTACCTACTGAGGTCAGCGCAGGTATGCCCCAGCCCCTGGTGCCTCCAGCAGTGAGTGTCTTTGCAGCTGATGAGGGACAGTGGGAGGGAGGGGAGGAGGGGTCCTCTGTCTCCCAGTGTCACTGTCAAACTCAGTACCTTTCTTGTCTAGACCTAACTGAACTTTCCCCAAGATTTTTATTCATTTTATTTTTTAAAATATATTTTTATTGATTTTGGAGAAGAAGGGAGAGATAGAAACATCAATGATAAGAGAAAATCATTGATTGGCTGCCTCTTGCATGCCCCCTACTGTGGATCGCGCCTGAAACCCAGGCATGTACCCTAACTAGGAATCAAACCGTGACCCTCTGTCTCCCAGTGTCACTGTCAAACTCAGTACCTTTCTTGTCTAGACCTAACTGAACTTTCCCCGGGAGAGTTTTATTCATTTTATTAAAAAAATATATTTTGTTTTTCTAATTATATTTCTTCATTGATTTCAGAGGAAGGGAGAGGGAGAGAAACACCAATGATAAGAGAGAATCATTGATTGGCTGCCTCCTGCATGCCCCCTACTGTGTGGATCACGCCTGAAACCCGGGCATGTACCCTAACTAGGAATCAAACCGTGACCTCCTAGTTCATAGGTTGATGCTCAACCACTGAGCCACACCGCCTGGGCTCCTGAGGGATTTTTAATTTATGCAACACAAACTGGTGTGATGAGTCAGGGTGAAGTTCAGCTAGATCAGGGGTTCTCAACCTGTGGGTCGCAACCCCTTTGGGGGTTGAACAACCCTTTCACAGGGGTTGCCTAAGACCATCGGAAAACACATATATAATTACATATTGTTTTTGTGATTAATCACTATGCTTTAATTATGTTCAATTTGTAACAATGAAATTGGGGGTCACCACAACATGAGGAACTGTATTAAAGGGTCACGGCATTAGGAAGGTTGAGAACCACTGAGCTAGATCCAGGTTCAAATCCTGGCTCCCCAACGAACTAGCTGTGTAGCCTCAAGCAAATGATTCACCATCTGTCTCCCAGCCTAGTGCCCCTCCACGAAAGGGAAATGACACCTACCCCATCGGGTGGTTTGTCCTCAGGATTGATTGAGGTTTGTGTATAAAATGCCAAACCCGTGTCTGGCAGCTGTTGAAAGCTCAAAAAAGGGTAGTTGCTCTAGCTGCTATTTCTCCACTGTGGCCAAGCTCAGATGCTGGCCTCCTGCCAGTCATCCGCTAGAAAATCCAGGAGCTGGGAGCAGTGGCAGCACCAGCATCCCAGTGATCCATTTCCGACTTGAGGACACTGGCACCCATATTGGGGCCTAAAAGGCCAGGGGTAGGGAGCCCAGCTGAGCCATCAGTAGAACTGGCCTGACTCTCCCTAATGCCATTCTGTAACCTGTTCTGTAATCTGTATGGATTTCTGTCGTGGCCCTGGTGGCACTTCAGGGCACTGAATTCTCCATGGGACCAGAGTGCCTGAAGGGCAGGGATGGAGTTGAAACCTCTGGCACACAGTCATCAATAGATATTGTTGATCAATAATGGCCCATTGATGTCAGAAGAATAAAGCTGAACAGGCCCCATGAGGAGGCTGTGTGGTCAAGAGCTCAGACTTTGGGGTTGGCTAGGCCTCGATTTGAATTCTGACTCTACAGTTCATTAGCTGAAGGGGCCTCAGTTTCCTCATCCATAATGGGATGATCACGATTAGTACCAACTGCCTAGGGGAGTGGGGAGGTTTGAAAGAGGAAATGCAGGCAATGTAGTTAACATAGTGCCTGGCACATAGTTAGGACACAACACACCTTAGCTGCTAGCATCACCACTTCTTAGAAATGTCCAGGAAGGCTCCCTGGAGGAAGTGACATTTGAATTGAGTCTTTAAAAGATTAGATGATGGCCCTGGCCAGTGTTCTCAGTGGTTACAGCATTGGCCCACACCCCAAAGGATTGCAGGTTTGATTCCTGTTCAAGGCACATACCTGTGTTGTAGGTTCCATCCCCAGCCCTGGTTGGGGCATGTACAGGAGGCAACCAATCTATATAACCAGGAACCTGGAAGCCGTGGGAGGGCAACCATTGCTCTCTCTCTCTCTCTCTCTCTCTCTCTCTCTCTCTGTCTCTCCCTCCTTCCCTTCTACTCTCTCTAAAAATCAATAGAAAAAAATATCCTCAGGTGAGAATTAACAAAAATAGATAAATACAAGATTAGATGCTGGATACCTGGCAGTCTAAGACACCTGGGTTCCGAGGCATCCCCAAGAACTCAGTGGTTCGAGAAGGTCAAGAAGGAGGATTGGCGCAGCCTAAGAGCCTGTGGGGAAGAGGTCGGCTAGATGGCCAGACCAGGCCAAGCTGGGCAGGCCCCGTGGACTGTGATAAGGACTGTGGACTTTATTCTGCAGGCAAGGGAAGGGCACGGAACTGGGCAGTTGTGTAATCAGGTGCATGTCTCAGAAGAGGATTATCAGTGGGAAGAAGGGGAAGTGTCACCGAGACAGTAATGCTGGCTGTTCATGGCTGTTCCCAGAGCGTGCCTGGCATTCCTCAGGAACAGCAAAAAGGCCAGTGTGGCTGGAGAAGAGGAAGCAAGGGGCAGAGGAGTGGGTCAGGGAGTGACATGATCTGACTTTCATCTGAACTTCTGCTGTTGTGTGGAGACAAGGTTGGAAGCAGGGAAACCAGGTAGAAGGTCTTCAGAATAATCCAAGTTATCACAGTACTAGAGGCCTGGTGCACGAAATTTGTGCATGGATAGGGCTGGCCTGGGCCTTCCTTCCCCTGGCTGCCATCCGCTGGCAGGGGCCTTCATTCAGTCCGCGCTGCCCCCTGGTGGTCAGCACACGTCAAAGCAAGCGGTCAAACTCCTGGTTAGTCGAACTCCCGAGGGTATAATTTGCATATTAGCCTTTTATTATATAGGATTTATTCAGATATTTATTGTGCATCTACTACGTGCCGGGACCATTGCAGGCGGGCTCTGGGGATGTGGCTGAGAACCAGACAGAGCCCCTGCTCATTGAGACCCTGGGGCTGTTCCCTCCTGTCGTCCAGGAGACCCAGATGGTCCTGCTCTATGGTCTGCTGGAACCGTCAGGTGTCAGAGTGGGCAGGAGCTTCCTCTGGGGGGCAGGTGGGCTGCTAGGCCTGGGGAGGGCACGAGGCTGCAGTACAGCCATTCTGGTGTGACTGTCACAGGGATCCTGGTCCCCAGCCTCCACCATGCCTGCCGCCCCCCCCCACACACACACACACTTCAGCCGCCCAGAGGCTCCTGGTTCCTCACACTGCCCGCCGTGCCACTCTTCAGCTCCAAAAGACCCAAGTCAAGGTGAGCCAGGAGCTCCAGGCTTCAGGGCCTCTTTCTCCCCCACAGGGAGGCCCCATCTGGCCCCTCCCCAGAACGTGACCCTGCTCTCCCGGAACTTCGGTGTGTACCTCACTTGGCTCCCAGGGCCCGGCAACCCCCAGAACGTGACCTATCGTGTGGCCTATCAGAGGTAAAGGGGAGCCTCCAGGCTGTGGCTGGGAGGCTGAGGAGGTGGCAGGGGTGGGAGGGGCCTCTTGGGAAAGCTGCTTTCCGCGTGGGCAGCATTTGCCGGCTCTCTGGGTCCCTGGGGAGATGGCACGTGGCAGGTGCTTGGAGAGGGCACTTGATAAAGGTCTGAAGGTGGGAATGGTGCTGAGCGGAGAGCAGTGCACAGGTGATAGGCCTGCCAGGGGTGAGGGTGGATCTTTGAGAAAAGTCGGAGCAGGGCTTGGGTGGAGCGATGAGGGCCAGCGATGGAATTGGTGGGGGGGGCCTGGATTCAGGGCTTGGGGTTGTTCGGGCAGATGAGGGAGGGCAAGTGGGTCTCCTGCAGAGCCCGTGCTGGGCATCAGTAGATGTTCACCCTTTTCCCCACGGAGCCTCCTCGCCAGCGGCCTTCCCAACCTGGCAGGCCAGGCAGCCACTACCCACCCAGAGGTACCTGAAAACGCCAGCGGCCTCACCATCTCTGCACACAGACGGGAATCATGGCAGGGTCTCTAGTGGGAGAGTGAGCTGATAAAAGCACACACTCGGGAGGATGGATCTAGAATCGGTGAGGAGGAGGAGGACGCAGGAAGGGGAGCAAGCCGCTCTGGACTCAGGACCCCTTCCGCCTCCAATGAGTATTTCGCTTCTTCCTCCCAGTATCACCAGGCAGGCGCTGGGCTTCCCATTGTAGAGGTGAGGAAGCTGGCGATGGAGCCAGAAGAAAATGCCAATCCTGTCTGACCCCAGGGTTTGTGCTCTGCCTATTCCGTCGCCATCCCTCTACCCCAGCACCCAGATGGGATTGACGGGGGCCTGGCTTGGAGGACAGGCTGCAAGAGAGCTTTCGAAAGAAGCAACTGTGTCGAACTGTGTCAGGAGGCAGAGAGCACCTCACATGTACTGTGTGTGTGTGTGTGCTGTTAGGTCCGCCCTGAGGCAATGCATTAACCGTATTTAATCTCTCACGGTCCTTTGAGGGAGGAGGCAGTGAGGAGACTGAGGCACCACAAGTGCCTTTTGCTCAGGGTCACACGGCTGGAAATCGTGGGGCGGGATACATGGATTAAAGAGCTCCAAGGCCACCCTCTGGACCTTTACAATAGTGTCCTTCTCGTTACACTGTTTAAACACCTGCGAGAATTGCAAAATGGTACTCTTCTAATGGTACTATTTCTCTGATTTTGATGGCAATTATTTTATAAAGAGATGCTTTCTGTATAGTATTTGATCTTCAGAGGGACTTTTCAAATCGGCAAGACAGGATCCGTGCTTGATTTTACGCCCCCCCCTTTTATTTGCCAGTTTTCTAGATAATGATTTGGTTCTGTCACCTCCCAAATGGAGTCCTTTGAACTTGACCCAGTTGTCTTTGACATCTTTTATTGTTATGACAAGATGTTCCAGGCTCGTTTGCAGCATTCCTAACCTAAAGCCTGAAATCAGTCACAACCAAGCCCTCTTTATCAAAAGATTTTCAGCCCCACTCTTGGTATTCTCTCCAGAATGTGCTTTCTCGCTTCCTGCAACCTGTATGCGCTGAGAATTTTTCAAATCTTCAGTTTTTAACCGTTCCTTCTGTCTATTACTCTTCTCTCTCCTCATTTTACTCTAAGCAGAAAGGAGGAACCAGATTACATCTCTAACACTCTACATTGAAATCTCCTCAGCTAAATACCCAAGTTCATCACTTTTAACTTCTACTTTCCGAAAAGCTCTAGAACAAGATTCAACCATGCTCTTTGCCTCTCTTTTTGTTTTTGTTTTTTCTGCATGGGGATTTCTACAGGCTTTTGATCCAAACTAGTTATTTATAAAAAGACATGTAAGGGACAGTGGGGAAATCTGAACCCAGACTGAATACTGACATGGAATTTTTAGTAATTTTCATAGGTGGGTGACAGTTCTGTGGTTTTGCAATTCTTTGCCTCTTTATACCAAGGATCACCTTCCCTTCAGTTTCCAATAAGACGTTCCTCCTTCCCACCTGAGTTCTCCCCAGAATCACCTGGAACACCCACATTCCTACCAACAGTCTTTTCAAGGCAGTCTCGACTTTTTCCAACGTGCACCTCAAAACTCTCCAGCTTCTACCCATGACCCAGTAGCAAAACCACTTCCACATTTTTCAATATTTGTTACATTAGCACCCCACTATGGTACCAAAATCTGAGTGCGTTTAACTTAGTTTGCTGGGGCTGCCATAACAAAATATCATAAACTGGGGTGGGGGCGAGGCTTACACAACGGAAATTCGTGTCTCACAGTTCCGGAGGCTGGCAGTCCAAGATCAAGATGCTGGTGTGTCTGCTTTCTCCTGAGGCCCCTCTCCTCGGCTTGCAGGTGGCCACCTCCCCACCTGGCCTTTTCTCTGTGTGCGAGCATCCCCGAGGTCCCTCCCTCTTCGTTTAAGAACACCGTCTTCCTGGTTTAGAACCCCAACCTTATGAACCAATTTAACATTAATATCATCTTTAAAGGGCCTGTTTTCAAATACAGTAGCCTCACCTTATTCGTGGTTTTGCTTTCTGGTGGTTTCAGTTACCCGAAGTCAACCAAGGCTCAAAAATATTTAATGGAAAATTCCAAAAAACAACAATTCCTAAGTGTTCAATGGCACGCCATTCTGAGGAGCGTGATGAAATCTGGCACCATCCCACTCCATTCCGGGACACGAATCACCCCCTGATCCAGCATATCCATGCTGTCTACGCTACCCACCTGTTAATCACTTAGTGGCTGTCACAATTATCAGTTTGGTTATCAGAGCTAGAGAGACCACATTCACATAACTTTTATTATCATGTATTGTTATAGTTGTCTTACTTTATTACTAGTTATTGTTACTCTCTTACTGTTCCTAATTTGTAAGTTAAACTTTATCAAAGATATGTATGTATAGGAAAAAAGACATATATATAGGGGTTTGATACTATCAGTAGTTTCAGGCATCTACCGATATATATGTATAGGAAAAAAGACATATAAAGGGTTTGATACTATCAGTAGTTTCAGGCATCTACTGGGGGTCTTGGAACATATCCCCCTCAGATAAGGGGGGACTACTATATAGGCACGTTGGGGGTTAGGGCTTCAACAGTGTGGCTTAAGCAGTTTGTTCAGTTTGTTCTATACATGTTCATTAGGCCAACTTCCATAATTATTTTGTTCAGTTTTTTTATATGTTTTCATTATCTTTGTTCAATTGTTAATTACTGAGTTAGTTGTATTAAAATTTTTTTCTCATTATGATTATGGGTTTTCTGTTTCTTCCTGTAGTTTGTCTATTTTTGCTCCAAAATATATCCTGAATTCAATCCCTTCTCGCCAAGTCTACCACCATTCGGTGATCTCTCGGATCAGGGCTGCAGCCTCCTCGCTGGTGTACCAGTAATCTTCTAAAAACATAAATTAGATCAGTCCCCTATTCAGAACCTTCCCGTGGCTTCCGCTCACACTTGCAATAAAATCCAAACTCCTTACCACGACGGCGAGGCCACCTGCTCTGCCCAGCCCCCTCTCCACCCTCCTCCCCAGTCTGTGCACAACTTCCTCCTCCCTGGTCCACTGAGTTTCGGCCACACTGGCCTTCCTGCTCTTGTCTGGATCCTTCCTATCGCAGGGCTTTTGCTTTTGCGGACCCTTCCCCGGGCCTTCACCTGATGCCCTTCCTGTTGTTGTGGCCTCAGCTGTTCTGAGCCACCTTTAGAAAGCAGCCACTCCCATGTGACCCTGTTGTCACTGCCTTTACCAGGATTTATCTTATTAATGTGATGGGGATCTCTCAGCTCTTCCCACCAGCATTTGTTCCGGAGCGCCTTGTCTGTCATGCATTGCTCGTTCCCCAGGAAGAATGCCCAGAGCTCAGGTCCCTTCTGTGGACCTCAGCGTTCTCAGGAGGTTGGAGTCATGGGCCTGCGTGTCCCCCTCTGACATCCACACAGCCCCCAGCAGGTGCCTGGCACACAGCAGGTGGTCGGTCCATAAGTGCCTGAACGAATAAACGTGGAAAATTGTTACTGGTACTAGCAATAGCAGCCACCATGACATATGACGGGAGGAGCCTGGGGCTCAGGGCTGTTACCTGCACAGGGTCCCAAAGCTGGTGAGGGCCGGAGCCACAGTTCCCACTCACGTGTGTCTCTCCAGAGCCTGAGCCGGAGAGATGGACGGATGGAGGACAGATGGGTGGATGCATGGGTGAAAGATGAGTGATCACTTGTTCTGTAAGTCCCCGGGTCCCAGGCAGTTGAGTCCATGGCCCAATGCTCCTGTCTGTTTCCTCCCTCAGCTTTCTCGCAGCCCCTGAACGGTGGCGAAAAGTGGCAAAGTGCGCAAGAACCAAGGAGCTGACGTGTTCTCTGATGTGCCTGGAGAAGCAGGACCTGTTCAACAAGTTCAAGGGCCGTGTGCGGGCGGTCTCTCCCAACGCCAAGTCCCCCTGGGTGGAGTCCAAGTACCTGGAGTACCTTTTTGAAGGTAGGTCTGTGGGTAAGGGACTGAGTGGAAGGTTCTCTGTCCAAGAACTTGGCTCAGTGGCACTGCTGTGCAACCATCTGTCTCCCACTTCCCCTTGTCGGGCAGCGCCCTGGCCACAGCCCGGGTCCAAGCAACCTGATTTCATGGCAGGGGGTTAGGGGAGTACCACAATGCCACAGTTCAACTGGTACCTCCTACTATGATCTTCTATGGAGCACAGCCTTGATCATGAACCATACAGGCATTTATTATACTAGAAGGAAGCAAGTGTGGATGGAGAGAGGGAGGACAGGAAGGAAAGGCACATGGGTGGATCAATGGTTAGCACAGAAGCAAGGCTGGCTGCTTAGGGAGGGCTGGAAGGAAGGGGAGGGGGAGGAGAAGTGAACAAACAAATGAAGGAAGGAAAATCAAGAAGGAAAGATATATGGGAAGGAAAGAAGGATGGATGCGTGAGTGGAAAAGTAGGCTGATTGGTTAGAAAGGATGGACGGGAAGGAAGGAATGTTGGCTGGGAAGGAAAGATGGGGAGGCAGGTACAGGGGCTGTTCTGCTAGCACAGTGGTTCTCAACCTTGGCTGCACATTAGAATCACCTGGGAATCTTTTTAAAGTCCTGATTTCTGTGCCTCATCCTCCGGAAATTCTGTTTCTTTGTTACTAATGTTGTGGCCCCGCCCCATAACATTAGGATTTATGGCTGTTCCCAGACCCGATGGGAAGCACTCCTGATTGCCTCCTCCTCCCTGAAGCACTCCTGGTTTTCCTTCAGCACACCTTAAGCCCGAATGACCCTTCCTGCCTTATTCTGCCCTCCACTGTGGCCCTGGTCACTTTCTCTCTTGAGTTTTGGTAGTTTTCATATTTCATTTCCCCCTAATTTCTTTCAGTTCCTGCAGGCCAGGACCCATGGAAGCCTCACCTCCTATTCCCTTCAGCTCCTTGCCCAGAGCATAGTACATAGTCACTATACCCTAGACCAGTGATGGCGAACCTTTTGAGCTCGGCGTGTCAGCATTTTGAAAAACTCTAACTTAACTCTAGTGCCATGTCACATATAGAAATTTTTTGATATTTGCAACCATAGTAAAACAAAGACTTATATTTTTGATATTTACTTAATATATTTAAATGCCATTTAACAAAGAAAAATCAACCAAAATCAACCAAAAAAATGAGTTCGCGTGTCGTAGGTTCGCCATCACTGGGCTAGACTCTGACCTGCAGCACTATGAGATAATGGATGTGGGTTGTTTTAAGCCACTAAGTCTGTGGTGCTGTGTTAGAGCAGCCATAGAAAACTGATACGTAAGGGCCGGATTCTGGCAGGCCAGTGGTGTGTGAGGGTACAAGGGACAACATGAACAAAGGCAGGTTCACTGTGAGCTTGGCCTGGTCATGTCACCTCTCTCAGCCTCAGTTTTCCCTTCTTTAAAATGGGACTAGTGATATCCCCTCTAGGGCTTGAACAAAATGGCCGGGAGGCTCCTGCTTCCCGGCTCCCCTTTCCAGGACAGCTCTCTGGGCTGGGCCAGGAGCAGGCTCACCTGGAGGCGGGGCAGTGGGCGCACCGTGGCCCCAGAGGGTCTTGACAAGTCCTGTTCTGTTTCTGCAGTGGAGCCAGCCCCACCCGTCCTGGCCGTCACTCAGACAGAGGAGGTCCTGAAGGTCAATGCTACCTACCAGCTGCCCCCCTGCATGCCCCCGTCGGATCTGAAGTATGAGGTGGATTTCTGGAAGGAGGGGACTGGGAACAAGGTGGGTGCCCCTTTCCTGCCCCCTACTTGTGCCCCCTTCCTCCCCGGCCCTACCAAACCTTAGTGTCCTCACCCTCCCAGCCTCCTACCTGCACGCCTCCTCCAGGAAGCCTTCCCATATACCCTTCACTCTTGGCATATCCCTGCCCTTCTCCACCTAAGAGGCCAAGTACAGGGCGTCCTGTCCCTGTGCCTTACAGGTGCTAACAGCACAGGCATTTTCTAACTAATATATATTTTTTAATTATGAAACCCGTTGGGGGTTTTTTTGTGTGTTTTTTTAACAATAAAATCTGATTGAACTATGGTGAGCTACAGGAGGCCTGCTTGCCCAGCCACTGGATTCATTATAGAAAAGTCAGAAAATACACATGAGCTCTACAGGGAAAACCGAAAGTACCAGGGATGACCTCAAATAAGTCTTTGGTATCTATCCAGTTTCAGACTTGTTTTCTGAGGGTGCACGTGTGTCGGTCTGTCTGTATGTATTTATGGCAGGGTTGGCAAACTTTTTTTGTAAAGGGCCAGATGTAAACATTTGTGGCTTTGCAGACCCTGTAGCCCAGCGGTCGTCAACCTTTCGGACCTCACGGACCACCAGTTGGCGACCGCTGCTCTAGTCTGTCACCGCTACTGGGCTCTGCATCTGTAACTCAAAAGGAACCAGAGACAGTATGTAAATGCACAGGCTTAGGTGCTTTCCAGTGTCACTTTTTAAAAAGCTGGCAGCCAGGTCTGCCCACAGGCTGTATAGTTGACTGACCCCATCCTTACTCAGTTTTTTTTTTTCACTGAACCAACAGTCACACTCCTGGCCTCCTGCATCCTCTGGTTCCCAGGATGTACACCACTTGATGTGGTCCATGCCTTCAAGAACCTTACAAATACCCTACACCAGTGGCCGGCAAACCATGGCTCGCAAGCCACATGCGGCTCTTTGGCCCCTTGAGTGTGGCTCTTCCACAAAATACCATGTGCAGGTGCGCACGTACAGTGCAATTGAAACTTCATGGCCCCTGTGCAGAAGTTGGTTTTCGGAAAGGAGATAGACGAAACAAGTATACAAGACGAGTGTGGAGGGGAGAGTTGGAAGGGGTCGACCTCAGCGAACGTACCTCAATCAGATTGAGGACGTTTTTAGCAAAGGCCAGCTTGGGAGTACCCTAATTAAGTTAATAACAGTGTACCTACCTATATAGTTTCAGTTTAAAAATTTGGCTCTCAAAAGAAATTTCAATCGTTGTACTGTTGATATTTGGCTCTGTTGACTAATGAGTTTGCCGACCACTGCCCTAGACCAGTACTCTCCAATAGAAATGTAATGCAGCCCTGGCCGGTGTGGCTCAGGTGGTTGGGCATCATCCCGTGCACCAAAAGGTCACCAGTTCAATTCCTGTCAGGCCACATGTCTGGATTATGGGCTCTATCCCTGGTAGAGGGTGTGCAGGAGGCAGCCCATAGATGTTCCACTCTCGCATTGATGTTTCTCTCCCTCTCCCCTATCTCAAAAATCAATAAAAATATTTTTTTAAAAGAAATGTAATGCAAGCCTAATGTGTAATTTTAAATGTTCCTTGTTAAATTAAATAAAAAGAAACAGGTGAATTTAATTTTCATTATAGACTTTAATTCATCCAATAGAATGTTATCGTTTCAACATGTAATTAATATAAAGTTATTGAGATATTTGACACTCTTCTTCCTTTGGTCTTGGAAAGCTGATGTGTATTTTATACTCAGAGTCCATCCCAGTTTGGACTGGTCACACTTCAGTTGCTCAGGAGCCGCATGTGGCCCGTGGCTCCTGCATTGGATGGGCACTCAACAGTTTTCTGTCTGTGATGGCAGAATGATGCCTCCTAAATAAGTTGGGATGCCCTTGGGGCAGGAAGTCTGAGGGATATGCCCCTCAAAGTGAAGGCCAGCAGTCCCTGGGCAGGGGGCTGGGGGTTGGGGGCAGGGAGTGACCCTCAATGGCAGGGGTGTTTTTGAACCCAGACCATCTCTACCTCGAAACTCAGCAGAAAATAAGCCAGATAGTTCTGGGAAGTGCTTCTTGAACACTTGATCTTGATTGCAGGAAAAGAAGTTGCAAGATCCCAGCTGCTAACCCCACCCCATCCTGGCTGTGCAGAGCCAGTTCCCACGACAGGTCTGCTCACCTCTGCTTCTTTCTCCAAACAGACCCGATTTCCAGCCACTCCCCACGGCCAGCCAGTCCAGATCCCCCTCCAGGCGGATGCCAGTGGATACCACTGCCTCAGCGCCAGAACCATCTACACCTGCGGGGACCCTAAATACAGCGAGTTCTCCAAGCCCACCTGCTTCTCCCTGGGGACCCCAGGTGGGTGCAACGTGGTACAGCCTCGAGGACTTTCCCTGAGCACCAGGATCTTCATCATGTGGTTAGGAGCAAGTGTCTAGAGACAGGCTCACCTCGATTAAAACCCCGGCCCTACCACACTCACTGTGTGTCTTTGGGCAGCTTCCCTAACCTCTCTGAATCTTGGTTTCCGCAGTCGGGAGCATGGGTTTATTCTTATGAGGACTGAGACTAGGATGAGGTATGAAAACATAAATACATAGGATTGTGTATGTACGTGAAGCCCCCAGGACGGATGCAGTCGGTAAACCGGAGCCGTTGTTGCTTCTTCATCCTGATTATTCTT